GTTTCTGTCTAGGTCTCCCCCCCTTGTCTCTCTCTCTCTCTCTCTCTCTCTCTCTCTCTCTCTCTCTCTCTCTCTCTCTCTCTCTCTCTCTCTCTCCTCTCTCTCTCTCTCTTCTCTTTCTCTCTTTGCGTGCATATATACAAATGTTTGTCTGTACACCCTCTTTCTCTCTCTCTCAGTCTCCTCCAACTTTCTTTCTGTCTTTCTCCATTCTATTTTTTTTTTCAATTCTTACATGTTTACATAATCTTTGCTTCAGTTATATGTACCTTCTACTGCGCGGCCAACATATATCGATTGCTGGGTCTCTTGGTTAGAATTCCGATCCTGTCTCTGTCTTACTGTCTTTCTCTTTCTCTTCTGTTTTCTCATTTGTTATTCAATTTTCTCCAGTTTTTGTGTTTATTATCAGTATCTTTTTTTTGTTGTTGGTTCCGTTCATGTCTCATGGTTTTCTTCTCTTTATCTGCTTGTTTCTCTCTCTCTCTTTTTCTTCTAATTCTCCCTCCGTCTCCTTCCTCTTTATCAACAGTCTCCCTGCCTCTCCTTATCTTCCATACTACCTATTCTCCCTCCCTCTCTCAATGCTCTCCTTTCCTTTCTTCCTCCTCTAACCCTACCTACCTCTCTCCTTGTTCTCCTTCCCTTTCCTTTTTTCTATCGTCCTCTTATCTCATCCCTCCCCATTCTCTCCCCCCTCCCCTACCACTCTCCTCGTCCTTCCCCACCTACTTTCGTTCCTTCTACCCCTTCTTTCACTCTCTCCTAGTTCTTGTTACCTTATCCTTTCCTCCTATCCCCCTTTTCTATCCTACCCCTATCTCTCTGTTCTTCTTACCTCATCTCTTACCCTAATCCTTCCCCAAAGGCCTCTCCCGTCTCCCTTCCATAACACCCTTCCTTCCCCATCCCTCCCTACAGTTTTACCTCCCACCTTCCCTCCCTCTTACCTACTCTCCTTCTCCCTCAAAAACTACCCATCCCCATCCCTCCCTCTCTCCTTACTCTCCCACCCCCACCCTCTCCCTCAAATCCACCGTTCCCCATCCCTCCCTCTCTCCTACTCTTCCATCCTCCCCAACCCACTCCCTCTCCCTCAAACCCAGCCTTCCCCATCCCTCCATTTCTCCCTCCCTCTCTCCTACTCTCCCATCCCCCACCCTCTCCCCCATCCCTCCCTTTCTCTCCCTCTCTCTCCTGTTCTCAGCACCCCTCAGCATCCCTGGAAGTCATCAGCACACACAATGGCCCGGACAAGCGAGGTGGGCGCGAGGAGGGGCGTCCCCAGTCCTCATCGTGAATGGCAGGTAGGGGCGGGGTGCAAGGAAGGGGCAGAGAACGGGTAGGGGCTTAGGGAAGAGGACAGGTAGGGGAGTAAGGAGGAGGACGGTAGAGGAGGAGGGAGGAGGGTAGGTAGGGGATTAGTGAAGGAGGACAGGTAGAGGAGGAGGGGAGGTAGGTAGGATTAGTGAAGGAGGACAGGTAGGTGAGTAGGGGAGGAGGACGGGTAGAGGAGGAGGGGAGGAGGGTAAGTAGGGGATTAGTGAAGGAGGACAGGTAGGGAGGAGGACAGGTAGGGGGAGAGAGGACGGGAAGGGGAGGAGGAAAGGTAGGGGAGGAAGGGAGGTCATGTAGGGGGCGGATGGCTTGGAGGAGGGGAGGATGCCTTGGGGAGGAGGAGCGGAGGGCAGGGAGGGGCGGGCACGATCCTCAGGCGGAAACAGAGATGGGAAGAGATAACAGGTAAGGAAAGATAACAAGAAAGTGCTTTGCGGACGACGTAATGTATGGGTGAAGTTTATGTATGAATCTAATTTTTTAGTGTCTATTTGGTTCATTTAGCTTTACATTGATGATGCTCTGGATAACGATAATGACAATGGCGATGGAATCATTACTCTTATGTTATTATTTCGTCTTTTAAATATTTGTTACTATATTATCATTACTGCTGTCGTTGTTGTTATTACCATTGTTTACTGTCATTATTATTGTGTTATTACTTACTATAATCATTATTGATATTATGATTATTATTTTAATTGTTATTATTAATACCATTATTATTATATTTTGATTATAATCATCCTTATTATCTTAATTATTATCATACGTATATACATACATACACACACACACACACACACACACACACACACACACATATATATATATATATATATATATATATATATATATATATATATATATATATATATATATATATATATATATATATATATATATATATATATATATATATATATATATATATATATATATATATATATATATATATATATATATATATACATATATACATATAATATGTATGTGTGTGTGTGTGTGTGCTGCTACGTCAGCAGGGTATTAAGGCGAGAGCAGGCTGCACAAAGCAGTAGAGCAGGCAGGAAAGGCTCGAGGCGAAGGGGGCGAGGAGGCAGCGTTTGGCAGGAGGCGTTTTGAGGTCCTGATCACTGCTGCCACCAGACGTCAGACGTCAGACGATTTTAAAGAGGCTGCATGAAAGAGGTCTTCGCTTTCAGGAGTATTACACTTCAGGAAAAATGGTTGCGAGTTAGCCTCCTTCTGTTTCCATCTGCCTGCGTGTCGGTCTGCCTCCTGTGTGCCTGGGGATCTCGAGGATGTTTCCCTCTTTAGGTTCCCCTCGAAGCCAGGTGCTTGCCTGTTCGAGGGTTAGGTTCATCTGGCCGTAACGAAGGGGGTTGAGTTCGCGAGACAACCTCAAGGGAGAGATGTAGGTCGACTGGATCAGCTGGGCTCGGGAGTTCAATGTTGCAAAACAGCTGTGTCCGGCGCAGCATTTGCTCTCATCCAGTCTTATTGGATATTGTTTATGTATTTGTGTATGTGTGTGTGTGTGTGTGTGTGTGTGTGTGTGTGTGTGTGTGTGTGTGTGTGTGTGTGTGTGCGTGTGTGTGTGCGTGTGTGTGTGTGTGTGTGTGTGTGTGTGTGTGTGTGTGTGTGTGTGTGTGTGTGTGTGTGTGTGCGCGCGTACGTGTGTGATTGTGGTAAATGAACATATGTGTGCATGTGTTACCTATGCTCCTTAACAGGCTGTGACTACAGCGAGGCAAAGATAAAGGACAGCATATAAAAGCGAGATACATGAAGTAGCAACAACAATTTTTTTCTTAGTGGCATTGGGGGAAAACATCGGAAAAGAACTACTTTCCTGCATCTCAATATGATCCAAAACTGCCGGCAAGAACTTGGACCTGAGCACTAAGTCCAAAGTTAAGAAATGATTGACTGAAGAGAGCGAAAGTTGCGAGAATAAAAAAAAGTGTTATATGGAAAAAGTGAGAAAAATATAGTGTCCTTGAAAAGTTCAGAAGCCATACGACAAAAGAGACGTAGAAGTTGTTTGTTCCATTATTACTTTCTTCAGCACTTGCCAACTATACTATATTTACCTACTTTATCAAAAAAGAGCCAGTTACAGTGATGTACAGATATCAAAGGAGATTCATTCACCGATAGAACATTTCAAATAAATCAAAGAAAAATAAAGCAAGAAGGAAGTCCATAGATGCTCAGCATTATTACACAGTATATCATTCATTAAAGCAACGACGACCTGATTGAACTGCTAGTATGACAAACGTTAAGGTAGCAAAACAAGTCTCATAAAACAACTTCAGACACTCAAAAAGTACTCAGGTATTTATTAATAGTTGCACAGAAGTTTCTCGAAGGTCACGTGGGGATCAAATGTAGACTCCCATAGTTTTAAGTTTTTAGACGAACAAAAGTTTCCGAGAAATAAAGGTGCTGATGACGATGGAGGTCGCTTTCCTGGAACTAAGATACATTCCACACATGACACTAGGTAACTATACTGATATATCTTCAGAGAAGCGGCAAAGTCAAAGCTATTTTGAGGGAAAGGTATGGGAGGGTAGAATGAAGTAATATTTGCGTAAATAATGCTAATGCCCGTGTCAAAAGTAAAAGCGATGAACAAAAAGGTCCCAAGACACTGCCCTGTGGAACACCAGAGAGTGCATGTTTAAAATAAGAACAATGACAATCCGTGCTAACACACAGGACATGGTAAGACAAAAACATAACATAGAGAATATTGTCATTAAGAACAAATCCTTGAAGCTTGTTGTACTGGAGACCCTTAAGACGATCCAGAGCGCCTGTACTGCATATAAAGTGGTTTGAAGGTCATGAACGTGTAAGTAAAAGATCACGTCCAAGGGACCTCACTAAATACATAAGAAAGCCAAGAAGAAAATATATATTTCTAGTGAAAAAAAAACGAAAATAAAGGCCGACTGCGTGTGCAACAGCAAAGACAGTACATGGTTTATAAATGTATGTACGTCAAATGTGTAAATTTGTCAGTATCCAGTAATATGTAAATCAAATATCTAAAATAAGGGGATGACTAATTATTGTGCTTCAAGATAAATGGATTCCCGAAAGCAATAACGGAGATTTGTTGCGAGATATTGCAGAAAAAAAAACACTTGTTTGATATATTACAATTATCACTGTAATGTTAGTCTTTCCCTCTCTCATACTAACCCACAGACACACATGTAAACCCACACACAAATATACCTGCCTATCTATAAATCCATCCAACCATCTACCTATCTCTATAACTAGGAACTGAAGACAGATAGAGAAATAGACACAATGTTTATCTCCGTACTTACCATGTCCATTTCGGAGATTCGACTCATACTTCGGACCTCGATGTCGATCTCTACCGTAGTGGGTTCTCCTGCAACATCCATAAGAAGAATATTTAATGATAACTTTCCTAATTGGGGCATTTGATGATAACTTTCCTAATAAGGGTATCTAATGAGAACTTCCACAACAGAGACATTTAATGGTAACTCGTAATAGGTGCATTTAATGATAATTTCTAGAGTAGGGCACTCAATGATAACTTCTAGAGTAGGGTCACAATGATAATTTCTAGAGTAGGGCATTTAATGATAACTTCTAGAGTAGGA